CGAGCAGTGGGCATTATTTGTAGTTGGTTTCTTCACTTTGTGAACTTGTTATCTGACAGCCTAAAATAAGTATGAGTTCTGGAAAAAATTTAAAGCCTATTTTATGGACATACCCAAGGAAAACGCACAGACTCATATATAAACGGGGGGATGATAGATGGATTGAGCAATACAACAATGCGTTGCGTGTGTGATAAACGGCCGTCTTGTATAAAGATTTCTTGCAAGGGATGAATAACAATCATCTTTATTAGAAAAAAAAATGATCAAGAGACACTCAGAATGCGCTTTGGAAACTGTGGTTCATGTTATATATTGCTGCAAACTGTTTTGGACATAAATAGCTGAATTCAGTATATTAAATCTCCTAATGACGTAAGTACTGTAGCTGGAATCATAGAAAGTATTCTTAAAAGTTTGAAACGCGTGCTTCTCGTTATGTAGATGGCAAACATGGAATTGCATTCCGCGAAATGAAATTTTTAAACAGCAGTAAATTTTATTGAGTTTTGCCTCCAACTCAAAAAGATGAAAAGAACTCTCAAGATCCAAACGACAGGTTGACATGTGTTGAATTAATTGTAATGTCATGATCAATTAGCAAGACATGGTCAGTTAGACCTCCTTTTCGTCACCACTCATTTATTGTAGAACCCGAGGGAAAAAAAATGAATAAATAATTTCACAAAACTGGTGTAAATTCGGTTTCGTTTGTTTCCTTTTTAATGACGAAGAAAGCGTTAATGACAATTTTGTTTCAGTTTTTTTCCCCAGTCAGATAGAGTTTATTAATGCAGATTTGAAGAGATTATATCTCTAGATTTAAAGTTAACCTTTGTTATACTAAGAAACATCGATTCGCTTTTCCTCCCTCTTACATAAACTTAATTATTATTTAAACATCCGGAAACGTTTTGACAATGCCACTGGCATGGGATGAAAGAGTGTTGATGAATCAGGTTGAAATAAATGAATAGGCTGGTTTTTTTTCTTACAAACTAGTTGAAGTTGTCTTCATTATTCTCTTATCTCCATATCAGGTTTCAATTTCTATTCTTAATTTCTACATCCTACCTGTTCAAAGCTAAAAGCTAAAAATTAATTGCACTTGAAGTACGTCAAATGTATTACAGCAAATAGCGTAAAAAAAGACTTTTAATGTTGCAACATACGATCATTTAAATTAAAATCGTGGAAAACTTGCAAAGGTGATGGATGGCGGGATGAAGGTGTCACTAACTAATTAACGACTCTTTTAGTTTGGTTCCCCTGAGTGCTCAACCCTCTTTAATTCAGAAATTAAATTGGGTACATTTGATGAATGTTTTCCGTTCTAGACCATCTGCCTATTCATAACAATTGTTAGATGAAAATTCGCGGATCGTTTAAAGGTTTTTCGTAGGTTTTTAAATCAGTAGTAATTCATCCGGCCGATTGCCTTTCTTTTTATTTTTCTATTGCTGTTCCCGAGTACTTTATTCGTTTAAGTCTTTCTTAATTTTAGTTTTCTTTTACTTTAATTTGCAAAACATCTCCCCAACGAACGTTCTTTTATAACTGATAGACCCCTTAATCGGTTGACGAGCTGAGGACGGAAGCATCAGGCTTATGTTATCGTAACTGGTCACCATTCCTTGTTTTATTACCATTCATAACCCGAGGATCATTTACTTTAATACGATCGGATCATGTACCTATCAACCCTAGATTTTTAAAACGTCATGTATTTAAAAAATCTGTTCGTCAGCTGAGGCAGCGTTGACATAATTGAATTACAGTCAGGCATGGCGTCTTCACGACGAACGCATGATCCACACTGACTTGTCTGGCGTTGGAAGAATTTTATTTTCGTTTACAAAGCTATTCTCTCTATCGTTCGGGGAGGGATCTAAAGTAGAGCTGACAGAGCTGTTATTTATTAAATTCTCAAGAAAGGAAATAATTAAAAGCTATTAACTATTAGCTAATATTCCTGGTCCGGATGAAGTTACAAGAGGCACTTTATAATATCATACTCACTGAGAGCTCACGCAGAGCGTAGTTTCGAGCTTTTCTTCAAGTCCCGGCCCGTTTCAAATGGCAGAAATCAATTTCAAATTGTTGTTTAGTGTTCTAGAGTGGAATGCTGTTATCATAAAACGTTGATCAGTCTGACAAAGGCAAGTGTCGGCTTTAGCTCGCAGATTATGTTCGCATAAACGACTCAATTATTCGACACGAATCGTGTGTCAGATTAGATTTACACTCAGCTATGAATTCATTAGCAAACTGCCTTTAGCGTACTGCCAATCGAAGTAATTAAGTAAGTGTTCATCATACAGTCCTTCAATGGCTATCACAAGTCAAAAAATTAGGACGGCGGATTAATCACACGACGAATCTAGTAAAAATGCAATTATCGTCTTTTTTATCTCACGTACACGTGTACTGTACATGTATGTTTAAAAAAACAGGCTTTTGTAAAAATTATTACTTTTATTATGACTGTGAAAATATACTTTCATCAGTTATGATTGGCTGAGAGCAGGCAAATGTGTCGTTACTTTTTAATTTCCAGTGCAGAGAAATTTATGGCGCGTTCGTCATATTATCAGTCATATAGTTTATGAATTATCTTATAAAAGCACGAGCAATTAACGATTTTACACCGTGAGAATTTTCGCATTTCACTGGTGGTATAGATCTTTAATTGCACTCGTATTCATACGATTACCCAAATAGTAACTAATTCCCACCGGGGCCCTTACTCCCAATTACTCCGGGTAAATGAGGCGACTCCGTTTACTCCGGAGGTGAAACAACCTCGTTCCCAGGCTCTCTCTTCTCTGCCCCGCTTGGTCTTTCCAACGGCCAAGGGAGGTAGGGAAATTAGGGTGCTTGTTCGTGCGCGCTCCGGCGAGAATAAGACCCGGGGGGTGCTCCCTTATATGGGCTATATAGGAGTGTGCGGCCCCAAAGGGTATCGTATTTCAGCCTTTTTGGTCAGAAATAGGGTATGGCCACTACTCTTGAATTTGGTATGTTTTTTAGAAGAAGCTACTTTTCCGCCATCATTATCGATAAGACCATAAACAAAAGCTCTTCAAAAATTACGTTTGGGGCAACTCTGTCAGCCGCAACAATCATAAATAGGGTATCGAATTTTTGGTCTGGTCATAAAGAGGGTAAGGAAAGTCGCAGATTTTGGTCATAAATAGGGTAAGGATTGCCACACAGCTCCACCAAATTTTTCTGGGAGTACACCCCGCGGAATAAGACGGAAAATGACAGAATGCGCGATATTTCGGTTTAGACAACCTTGTTGTTATTTCACTGAAATAGGGGATTTTTCCAGGAATAGTTTGATAATACTTGCTAGGATTTTCTGCCAAGATATCGCTGCCACGGAATACTATTTGACGGTAATACAAGAAATCTAACCAGAGTAATGAGAACAAAAAAGCTGAAAATAACTGAACTGAACTGAGATATTTATTGCATAGTACTAGAACACGGTTAAAGTCGTCACAGTAATTACTTTAAACAAATAAATCATGAAAAATACGCTTAATCACCCCAAAATGGAAATAGCCGCCGAAAATAAGACAGATGTATTATCCGTCTACCGGGCCAAGGTAAATACGGCCATTTATCAGATTTCCAAAATATTGTAATTAAGGCTCTTTGGATGCTTGCGGTTTCTGCCGATTGTTCAGGATCAGTTGAACCGAATTTTTGATCTCGCTAAAACTTGGTTGACAAAATCAAAATTCGTGTCAGGTCGCCTGACAATTCATTAAGCAAGATAGAAACAGAGTTTATGTCATAACCATGTGATATACTACAAATGCAATTTGCAGTAACAGTCAACGTGAGGAACAATCAATTGATGGATGGTTTTCCACTCTGCTCACAAAAAGCCTTTTAAAATTCGTCGTAAAGACGCCTTGGACACTGTAAAATAATAAGAAACTTCAAGGAGACAAATTAGGTGAGTTAAAAGAAACTTTCATAGCCAATTTCGAACACTTTAGCGCGACAGCATTATTTTCCAGATGATCTCTTTCGGTGGGAGTACCACCAGAAAAGTTGGGCAGGGGTGTGCGGCCCACTTTCCAAAACTCTAACTCTATTTATGACCAGAATCTGCGATTTATGCTACCCTATTATGACCTGGCCAACAATTCTATACCCTATTTATGACCTTTGTAGCTGACACAGTTGCCCTAAACATAATTTATGAAGGGCTTTTGTTGACGGTCTTATTGATAATGACGAAAAAGTAGCTTCTTCTAAGAAACATAC